TGATGCAGAAGCACAGGATGGTGGTGTGAGCTGATGCAGAAGCACAGATTGGTGGTGTGAGCTGATGCAGTACAGGATGGTGGTGTGAGCAAGTAACCTGCACAGGGACACACAGCAGAGAGGGTAGCAGATCTGCCCAAGCAGGGGCTGGCAGTGGAAGAGGAGGACAGAGGCTGTGCAGGGTGCCGTGGCCCCAGCCAACACCCTCCCTTACTCCATCCCTCCTTCCCCAGAGACAGGACAAGAGCCCCAAACTGGTATGATGAAGACCCTCCGGGCAAGGTTCAGGAAGACAGAGGTGAGTCTGCCAGCCTGGGGGAGGGAGGGCGTGAACCCTTAGTCTAATCTCCTGCTTGAACTGCCGCAGTAGCTCAGAACCCAGAACCTTTAGGCCTCCCCACCTCCACCCCATGAGCCCAGAGACGGCCCCAGCAACTTCATGGACTAGTGTTTTTTTCCACCAAATGCTGCCCTCCACATGGGTCCACTGACTCCCTCTGATGGCCTGACTCTGCCTTCCCAATCTGGATCACGGTGGTCGCTGTGGCCTCCCCCAGAGATGGAAGCAGGACCTTTGTGCCTGTTAGCAAGGTATCAGCCAGATACCTCCACCTCTGTCTACCCATTTTCACTTGAACCCCTGAATTCAGTGACTCCACAGGATTCCCAAGCGCTCTGCGCAGTCAGCCCCTGTCTCACCCTCACACGGATTCTTCAAGGAATGAATTTATGTTGTCTGCATTTCAGAAATGAAAGGAGGCTCAGAGAGGGTGTGGAAGCTGCTCAAAGTCACACAGCTCCGAAGGGTTCTGCCTCCTGTAGGGGCCAGGCATCTGTGGGTGTGATCTGCATGAGGAAAAGATGGAAGGGTTTGTTTAGAGAGAGAGGGTAGGAGAGAGGGAGGGAGGGAAGGAAGAAGAAGAAGAAGAAGAAGAAGAAGAAGAAGAAGAAGAAGAAGAAAGAGAGAGAGAGAGAGAGAGGCTTTCCTACACAGTTACACGGGCTGGACTGGCCCCTGATATTTTCTGCTGGTCCCTCATTTCCTCCGATACATTTTTCACAGATACCCTGGGAATCACAACCAGTTGGAAACCCAGTTACTGCAAAAGCCAAGTAATGGGCTGGCAAAATGGCTCAGAGGGGAAAGGTGTTGCAGCCAAAGTATTTCCTGTGTTCTGCACTGCTGTCTGGGCACCGCGTGTGTGCAGTACCCACGGAGGCCGGAAGGGGGCGTCGGGTCACCCTGGCGCTGGAGTCTCTGGTGGTTGTGAGCCCAGTGTGGTCCTCCGCAGGGGCAGCCCGTGCGCTGACCTTTCCTGAGTTTGATTCCCACAACCCACTGGGGGAAGGAGGAAAAGGACTCCACAAAGTTGTCCTCTGACCTCTGTCGTCGTGCACCCGCGTGCACACCCACATAAACATAATTTTTAAATTAAAGAAAAAAATAGTTTTTGGAAAGCTGAATTAGGGCAGCTGTGATGGTGCACGCCTTTAATCCCAGCACTCGGGAGGCAGAGACAGGCGGATCTCTGAGTTCGAGGCCAGCCTGGGTTACAGAGTGAGTTCCAGGACAGCCTGGACTACACCGAGAAACTCTGTTTGGGAAAAAGATCTATCTATTTTAAAGCTGAATTATTTCGAAATCTGGCAGTCCACCCCTGAGGAGAAACACCTAGTTTGGGATGGGAAGCAGGTGTATTTCCGTGGGTTGCTGAAGGGGCAGCGTCGGGGTGGGAGGAGCGGGGGTGGGGGTGGGGGAGTGGGGCGCTCGCCAGCCTGGGCAGCAGATGGGAGTCCTGGGCCGCCTCTGCCCGCCCTTCTCCGGTTTCCACACAGCAGCCAGAATGAAGCTCCGCTTTTGTCAAGGCAGCCTCGAGGGAAGAAAGCGAACACCCGTGGCTTCTTGGTCCCCTCCTGGGACAGGCAAGCGCCAATCTGTATTCCAGCAGGTGTCCCCACGCTGTCCATCCGGGCTCCAGCAGGGGCGCAGCTGGGCGCAGCGGGCTCTGGGTCTCGGTTTCCCTTGTATAGAGTTGGAATTACCTTATCAGCCCCCCCCCCCCGACCTTCTGATCTTATTTGAGAAAAATCCCTCCAGGGCAATGAGGAGGCTTGCAAAGGTTTGCTGGTGCTCAGGCTGGCCTTGAACTCACAATCCTACCACCTCAGCCTCCTGAGTGCTGATGTCACAAGGTGGACATCTACACCCAGCTCAAAGTATTCTCTCCCCTCTCTCTCTCTCTCTCTCTCTCTCTCTCTCTCTCTCTCTCTCTCAAAGTTGGCATGTGTGTGTGTGTCCGCACGTGTGTGAGTGTGTGCCAGGACTCCCCACAGAGAATGATACACAGACATACCAGCCCAGTGCCCAGAGTGTTGAGTGAAAGGAAGGTAGGATTGGTTTGTTAGGGAAACATTCGTAACTGCAAGGACTGGGTGAGCCCCTCACTTCAGAGTTCTGCCTGTCTGGAAACTCCACATCCCACAGTTCCCGTCCTGTCCCCCAAGACACTTTGTATAGTACCAACCGCTTGCACAGAAGCCACGGAACTGGAGAGGGCTTGCCTTGGCTCTGAGTCTCCAAGGCATCCAGCAGTCACCCCATAAATACTGAACAGCAGAGCCTCTGCCCAGGGCGGCGACATGGTGGTGCCCATACCCTGTTCCCCCAGTCCCCAGGCGGCAGGTCGTGGGATGCCTCTGTGTGTCCTGCGTGGAGGGCTCTAATTCCAACCAAGGCAGGACAGGTGCCCACAGACCCTGGAGACAGAAACACAGGCCGCACCCCCTCTTTCAGTTGATCTAATGAATTGCACAGGCACCGCTCCATGTGTCCGGTGAGTGAGGAGGCTTTTACTGTGTTCTCACTGTGTACCAGGCCTGTGCGGAGTGGTGCGTCCCGCTCAGCAGGCAAGTCTACCTGAACCCCAGTGCGCACGTGACGAGGGCGGAGGCCCCAGTAGGTGAGGTCTAGGTTGGACCCATAGGTGGATAAGGGCGAGGTAGGCGCGGGATTGCATTTCAGAGTGAGCCGCTGGACCAGAGCAAGTGGGTGGGCTGGAGGAGTGAGCGGGCGAAGGGAGGAGTGAGCCACTGAATGTGCCCATGAAAAGATGAGTTAGTGAATGGGGGGCGGTGAGGGAATTAACGAGAATGGAAAGGTGATTGAAAGGATTAACAAATATGTGAATGAGTGTCGGAGAGAATGAATGTATGAATGAATGAGTAAACGACTGGGAGACGATGTGTGAATGAATGATGGGCCAGCTGCCAGTCTGGCTAGGGATGGGGGTGGGGTTGAGCCTGGGGAGGAGATGGGAGGGGCCTGAGCAGGGGTAGAGGGGGTGGGCTGGGGAGGGTGAAGCTGGGCGGCGGAGGAGGGCGTGGCCACGAGTCTAGAGGGAGTGGACGTGGTCTGGTCTGGCCCGGTCCCATCCATTCGCCATGAAGCAGCTGTGCCTTTGCGCATCCTCCTCCTTCGCGGTAGGCGTTTGGGTCCCTTTGCGCCTTCCCTCCTTCCCCGGAAGATGCTCGGCGGGGGCGTGGGGCGGGGCAGCTGCGGGGCGCGGGCCGGACGTGGAGGGCGGCGCGGAGGGTCTCTGTGCTCCCGCGGGGTCAGCCGAGCGTTGCGGGATGCAGGTCTTGGAGGACACTGCGGACAATCACTTGGGAACCGTCTATGCTCCTGGGCATATTTGTGGCTGCAGCTCTACCGGTCAGGCCTTAGTACTATAGGGGACGATGGGACCTTGGGGGAGCAGCTGTGAAGGGCGGGGAGGTAGTGGGGTCAATGGGCGCTGGAGGATGTTTTGGGAAAGGCCAGTCACCCTAGCATTCATAGGCTGAGGCAGGGGAATCTTTAATTTGAGGCTAGCCTGACCACATAGTGAGATGCTGTCTCCAAAAAAACAAAAGATAGTAAAATAATCGTGGAGGAGGGGTGAGGTGATGGGTTAGTGGCTGCCCTCCCCAGCACTACGTAAAACCAGGTGAGCTGTCATCCCAGTCCTGGGGAGGGGGAGGCAGGAAGACCAGGAATTCAAAGTCATCCAAACTCTGGGAGTTTGAAGCCAGTCTGGACTACGTGATGCCTGACTCTGCCTCAAAAACAGAATGGGGGCATTGGAGACCTCACCTTTAATCCCAGCACTCTGGGGGCAGAAGCAGGTCTATCTCTATGAGTTCCAGGCTAGCCTGATCTACATAGATACTTTAAAAAAAGAAAAGAAAAAAGATGGGCGTTGTCTTATAAAACTAACTTTGACTTAAAGCGCCGTGAGGGGAGGTGGCTTGAGGGCTGACATTCGGAAGACATCCGTGGTAGTGGGCCTGCAGACACATGCTGGGGGGTGCAGGTTTCAGAGACGCTGTCTCGAGGCCCCCAGCCAGGACCACCTACCCCACAGCTCCGGCTCAGTCCCACCGACCTTGGCTCCTGCCCGCCCTGTGGCCCGTGCCCTATCCCGAAACCCGCAACAAGAGGCAGGCGCCAGGCAAGTGCCCAGGAGTGGGTGGGTGAGAGTCCGGAGCCACTGCCTTTGTTCCTTGGTGGGGAGGGGACAGTGAACCACTCAGTCCCACACACCTCTGGGTGTGCCACCACAGGGCCAAGACTGGGGCAAAAACGACCAGCGCCTGCTCCAGGCCGTGGAGAACAATGATGCGGCCAGAGTGGCCTCGTTGATCGCCCACAAAGGGCTGGTCCCCACAAAACTGGACCCCGAGGGCAAGTCTGCGTGAGTGCCCGAGCCCAGGGACTGGGGTGGCTTTGGACACTCTTCTGGGCATGACCCCTAACTCGTGCCTCTAGGTTCCACTTAGCTGCCATGAAGGGTGCGGTGGGCTGTCTGGAGGTGATGCTGGCCCAAGGCTCAGACGTCATGAGCACAGATGGAGCAGGTACTTCCGGACCCGCCCCTGGGTGGACGGCGGGGTGTCCAGAGTAGGGATCTCACAGTCCACAATGAGGCTGTAGCTCCGTGGGTAGGACTCTCACCAACCATGAGGGGAAGCCCTGGGGTGCATCCGTGACGCGGGTGTATGCATGTCATCATCCCAGCAGCTGGTGTGGAGGCTCAAGGATCAGGAGTTCAAGCGATTCAGCTCAGCTCTATGTGAGGCTGGAGGTCAGCCTGTGTTATATGAGACTTCGTCAAAAATAAAAATAAAAGTAAAAACCCCTCAGTCCCAGCATCTGGGTGGCAGAGGCAGGCAGATCCTTGTGAGTTCCAGGCCGACCTGGACTACATAATGAGACCCTGTATGGAGAGACAACAGACAGCAACCAAAAGGTCTACGAAAGCAGCGGGTTTTCAGAAGTAATTGAGTTTGGAGGTTGAGGTGTGGGAGGCCGCTGAGCACACCTGGAGGACACTTCCCATCTCTTCTACCCTCAGGTTACAACGCCCTTCACCTGGCGGCCAAGTATGGGCACCCCGAGTGCCTAAAGCGGCTCTTGGAGGTCCTGATGCTCATTCTCTGTCCTCACGAAACTCCAGCTACTTCCTCAAACCCCAGCTACTCCTGGGCCCCCAGCTCTGTTACTGTCATCAAAATAGGGTCACCTGGGGGGCTGGAAGATGGGTTCTCAGGGAAAGAAGATATGGGAGGGGAGAAAAAGAGCCAGAGGGGCTGGAGAGGCAGCTCAGTGGTTAGAGCACTGTCTGTTCTCGTGGAGGACCAACGTTCGATTCCCAGCACCCATAGGAGGCTCATAACCATCTGTGACTGCAGCTCCAGGGACCCTACATGCCCTTCTGGTGTTCTCAGGCACTCATGTGCACACCCACAACACACACTGCACGTGCTTGTGTGCACACATACACAACTAAAACATCTTAAAAATAGTGAATCTGTGAGGCGATGAGATGTCTCAGTAGGAACGAGTACTTGCCCCAGGCTTGCTCACCTGATATTGTTCACTGGGCACCTCAGGGAAGGAAAGAGCAGTCTCCCACCCGCAACATGCTGGGCCAAGTACCAGCAAGCACACTCGCGGAAACAAGGGCAGTAGAGTCCAAGGGAGTAGGGAGGGCTGAAGAAATCAGGCACTCAGGGAATAGAGATGACATCACCTGTCATTACTTCCCAGGCTTCCTGCGTGGTGGACATTGAGGACAGCAGTGGGTGGACAGCCCTTCATCATGCAGGTGGGTGCAACCAGGGCCTCCCCAATTCAAGGCAGGCTCCCAGTCCCTCACTGGGGGATTCTAGGCGGGGCTTCACCCTGACCACGCCCCCAGCCCGTCAGTGGGGAATTCTAGGCGGGGCTCTACCTCTGACCAGCAGCTCTAGACCTTAGTTTTTTTTCTTTCTTTGGTTTTTTGAGACAGGGTTTCTCTATGTAACAGCCCTGACTGTCTTGGAACTCCCTCTGTAGACCAGGCTAGCCTCGAACTCACAGAGATCCGCCTGCCTCTGCCTCCCAAGTGCTGGGATTACTGGCGTGTGTCATCACCGCTTGGCATTTTCTTAGTTTTTATGGATGAGTATTCATGTGCGTGTCATGTGGAAGTCAAAAGACAATCTGTGTCATTGTCATGTGCTCTCTACCCCTTCTGTGAACTTAGTCTCCACAACTTAAGCTAGGTGATAACAAACCTTGGATCCTTCTGCCTCTGTCTCCCCCCATCCCCGTGCTGGGGTCGCATTGTGCACCTCCACACCTGACTTACCTTTGGGTGGAGCTTAGGTCACTTATGGACAGAGCCATTTTCCGAGCCCTCTCCTTACTTATTTTGATGCAGTCTGTAGCTTAGGCTAGCCTTGAAGTCCATAGTCCTGCCTCAGCCTCTGAGCTGCTGGGGGACGGATGCGGGCCACCATCTCCAGTTGGTCACTTGTTCTGTGTGCAGCCTAAGGCTTAGCTCAGACTGCAGTCACCGTGTGAACCAGGCCCCTTTACACAAGAAGTTAGGCACCTGTACCAGTGGGGGACCTTATTTCTTGCACCCCAAAGCCTGGCCTGTGGGTGGACAAAGTAGGGTGGTTAGAACCCTAATTCCTTCCCAAATCCCCTGGGTGCCTTGGCTACAAGCAGCTCCCCCACTCCAGACTCCGTCCTCAGAGCAGCCAAGGACTGATTACTGGAGCCCAGGAGCTCAGGGTCCGGGCCTGTCCCCCCCTCCAGGCAGACCCTCCTGCCCAGGGGACAGTCACTAAGGGCCCAGTCAGAGTGGCACCATCAGGTGGTGTCCATGTCCACAGGCACTCGAGAGGACGTCTTAAAAAGTTAAATCATTTATTCACCTGTACCACATACTTGAGTGGAGGTGGAGTGGGTCCTCTCTCCCGGCAGGTATGTCCTGGGGACTCAACTCACGTCAGCAGGCATGGCAACAAGCACCTTTACCAATTGAGCCATCTTTCTGGCCCGCTTTTTAAATGCTTTTTTTTGTTTTATTTTAAATTTTTTAAAAATTTATTTATTTATTTTGTATACAATATATTCTGTCTGTGTGTATGTCTGCAGGCCAGAAGAGGGCACCAGACCTCATTACAGATGGTTGTGAGCAACCATGTGGTTGCTGGGAATTGAACTCAGGACCTTTGGAAGAGCAGGCAATGTTCTTAACCACTGAGCCATCTCTCCAGCCCCCGATTTAAATTTTTTTTAAGAAATGTGTTTATAATTTTTTAATGTGTATGAGTGTTTTGTTTGCATGCATGTCTGTGCTGGGCCAGAAGGGGGTGCTGGGTCTCCTGGAACTGGAGTTACAGATGGCTAAGAGCTACCACGTGGGTGCTGGGAATCGAACCCAGGCCCTCTGCAACAGCAGCCAGAGCTTTAACCACTGAACCATCGCTCCAGCCCTGAGATTTTAGTTGAGGTCTCATTCTGCAGCCCATGCTGGTCCCTAAGGTGCAACCATCCTCCAACCTGGGCTTCCCAGCTGCTGGCATAACCGGTGTCAGCCACCCCTCTGCAGAGTGAGTTCTGGACCAGCCCAGGCTGCAGACTGAGACCTGCTCTTGACAATAAACACTAAGGAGCCACAGCAGGCAGCGCCTGCCCCCCGCCCCCAACTCTCTCCTCTCTTGTCTTTCCCAGCTGCTGGTGGTTGTCTGTCCTGCTCGAAGCTGCTCTGCTCTTTCAAGGCACACATGAACCCCCGGGATCGGGTGAGATGCTGGGACTTTGTGGGGGGTACAGTACTATCCCTGCTGTAGCAGTATTCTAGGCATCATCTGCAGAGCGTGGGGTGAGGCTCCAAGATCACTCATGCCATCTCATCCTCCCTACCAGTCGGGTGCCACGCCCCTCATCATAGCGGCCCAGATGTGCCACACAGATCTGTGCCGCCTCCTCCTGCAGCAGGGGGCTGCAGCAAACGACCAGGACCTGCAAGGCAGGTGAGCACCAGGCCTCCCGACCTTTCCATCAGATGCTGTGTGACTTGGAGCAGATATCTGAACCTCTCTGAGCTGCGGACCTAGGAAGCCTCTTCCTGGCCTGGATGTAGAGAAGGGTTTAGGAGGTTGGGATCCAACGTCTGCTCCTTCAGTAGCCCCGTTTACCCCCACAGGACAGCCTTGATGCTGGCGTGTGAGGGGGCCAGCCCGGAGACTGTTGAAGTACTCCTGCAGGGTGGAGCCCAGCTGGGCATCACTGATGCCCTGGGCCAGGACGCCACTCACTACGGAGCCCTGACGGGGGACAAAGTCATCTTGCAGCTTCTACAGGAGTCTGCACAACACCCTTCACCTCCCAGTGGTGTGCAAACCCTGCCTCTCCTGTCTGTCTCCTTCTAGGCAGTTTCTGGTCATCCACTTATTCGTTTGTTACCGATAGTTCCAAGGTAGCTCAATGCTGGGTCATGAGAATTTTTGTTTCCCATCTCAGGGCAGTTTCAAGGAGCCCCAGAGAACTCAGGAGGGGTCCACTGTGTTTCTTGGGTCACCCTTAGTATGGAAACTGCCTTTCCTAAGAGATGACAACCCACCCCACCCCCAAAGGGGAAGCTCCACTGCCCCAGTCTGCGAGTTTTGAGGTCCTCCCCACCCAGCATTCCACCCCTGTAGGTTTCTACCTCAAGGTCCCCGGTCCAGAGGCTGGGTTTTGTGGTGCACGCCCAGGAGGCTAGAGCGCTTATATCTGAGTTTGGGGCTAGCCTGGGCTACAGAGTGAGAACCCCCCCCCCCACAAATGACAACAAAAAAGCACTTGGGAAGGTTCTCTGGGCTGAGAACACAAAAGGTGGTCCCTGACTTTGCTTCCGCTCTCCACAGCCTCTCTAGAGGATGACTCCGGAGAGGCCTCGTCTCAGGTAGGAACCCGGAAGGCCTGACAGTCCCCTGCCCCGTGCATACACTCACTGCACCCGCCCTCACCTCCTCCTTCCCACCCCCGCAAGGAAGAGGCAGACCCGCGTGGACAGCGGTTTTGTCACCGCTACTCCGGGATCTGCTGCCGCCCAGTGGCGGTCACGTGAATACCAGCAGTGGAACTGGGAGGAGAGGTGGTTGCTAGCATGGCAACTCCGGCTTCAAAGGGGATAGAAAATGTCACAGAGGACTATAAAGCCAGGGAAAGGGTACACAGCGAATGGTTGGAGGGAGGTAGGACTAGGGGGGTGAACTTGGGGTTCATCACAGCAAGTCAGGAGGGAGCTGAGGCTGCTGACGGCTAGGGGCTGGCTACGTTGGATCCCCTGAGTGGATCCTGCCCAGGCCCTGTGTACTATGTCCCCATATGCCCACGCTAGAACTCGGTGTCCAGCCATGAAAAGCAAGGGGCCCCCAAGAAGCGGAAGGCACCTCAACCTCCGGCCAGCATGCCTGTTCCGGTAAGAGATAGGGTAGCCTGGAGTGGGAGGGGGCTCTGCCTCACGCTCACGGTAGTCCAGCTTTGGAGACCTCACCTAAAGTGGCTTCCCTTGGTGGGGAGGGGACAGGACGATCAGGATGCTTATGAGGAGATTGTGCGACTGCGCCAAGAGAGAGGCCGGCTCCTGCAGAAGATCAGGGGCCTGGAACAGCACAAGGAACGGAGGAGAAGGGAGGTTAGGAGGCTGTAAGGCCTGCGGTCCGGGTGTGGGGAAGCTATTCTTTGGGACACCACACCACCTGCCTTCCTCCCCTTCCTCCTTCCTCTGCTCCAGACACTCGACCCCTCACCGACCTTCCCACATGCCAGGCTCTGTCCTGCCCCAGAGCCTTTGCAGCAGAGAATTACTGTCTGTCCAGCGATCGCAAGGCTCCTTCTTCAGTCTCTGCCTGTTACCTACCGACATTTCCCCAGCCCACTTTATTTAAAATCGTCCCCTCATTTTCAGCTTCCTTTATTTCCACCATAGAGCTCCACCATTCAAAGGCACGCCCCCGAGGGCAGACTCAGCTGAAGGTGCCAAGTTCAGAGTGGATCAACTCTGGGTGAATGACTGGCCCTCGGCGAGGAGTAAACGAATTAGTGAGTGGCCTGGAATGGGGTCTGCTGTGGAGCAGGCACTGGGCCAAAGCGACTTGAGCGAGAGAGAACAGACTAGGGTCCGGCACACATCAAGAAAGCTCAGAGTGGCACACACTAGGAGCTCAGTGGATGTGGAGAATAGAGTCAAGGCTGCCAGACACTAGGTGGCGCATGACGATCCAGCTCTGTCCTGCTCTGTCCAATCCCAACTACTTCTACCTGCAGCCCCTGGAGGCAGAGGCCAGCTCAGTGCACAGCCTGGAGAGGCAGGTAGGTGGGGAGGACCACTGCTTGGGAGGGTCCTGGGTCCTCAGGTCCTCAAGTGCTGACCTTGTCCCCTGCAGGTGCAGGAGCTGCAGCAACTGCTGGCAGAGAAGCAGGAGGAGAAGGAGAGTCTGGGCCGGGAGGTAGAGAGCCTGCAGAGCCGCCTGTCCCTTCTGGAGGTGAGCGGGGGGTTAGGGTGCTGCGGTGCGGACTGGGCAATAAACTGGGTAGGCTGGAGTCAAAGACTTGGGGCGGGACCAGAGGCTGAATGGAGCTAGAGACTGGGGGCGGGACTAGAGGCTGGGCGCGGTTGGAGCCTGGAATGGGAGTAGAGGTGTGGGGAAAGTCTGAAGACAAGGACCTCGGGGTTGGGTGTGACATCATCAAAGTGTGTGGAGCCAGTGCTGTGGATGGGGGCAAGGTGCGGGGCCACTGCACAGGGCTGGGCCAGAGACAGGAATGGGAAGAACCAGGGCAGGGGTGGGTGGAGTCAGGGTGGGCGGGCAGATTTTCGGTCGGTGTCAGGTGGGTCTTTTGACATGCCAGAGCTTCATTCAGAGCTTCATTGTGCATCCACAATGTCCCGACCACACATGACTTCCACAAAGCCACATATCTATGAAGATTTCTCCAAACACACACACACATGCAAAGATGGCAGCCACACTGACACAGGCATCCCACATGACCTACACACATAAATCTCCCAGTCACACAAGACCACACCCCTCAAACCTTCCACACCCCTCAAACCTTCACCCAGATACTGCCCCAAGTGTGCAGTTAGAATCAGTGAGATGGATCAGCCGATAAAGCGGTGTGCTGCCCATCCTGCTGATCTGAGTTCACGTCCCCACAGGATGGAAGGAGAGAACCAGTTCTCTCACTGCCACCTGTGCCCTGTGGCATGTGTGCATCCCCACGCGGTTACACACAAAAGAAACAAAACGTGGTAAAATATCTATAAGCGAATAATTACACAAACATGCATAGAGACGATCCTCTATTAGGCAGCTGCTTTGATTCAAATCCAGAGCCTTGATCATAGGCTGGGCATGTCCTCAGTGGGGAACGCTTGCCCGGCATGTCCAAAGACCCTGGCCCACCCCAGCATCTCAGTAGAACATGGAAGGGCATGTTGGATGCTCCGTGAATACAGCCACTACCAGTCGGGTGACTCCAGGGTGTTGTATAGATATATGAACACCCCAATTTTGGGAGGTAATGATGGTATCAAGGTACAGGACCTGAAGGTTGACTTTGTACTCCACCGCTAGAATGAGAGAGAGAACACCAGCTACGACGTGGTCACCCTGCAGGACGAGGAGGCTGAGATGCCTGACTTTCCAGGTGAGTTCTGAGCCCCTCCACCCCCTCACTGCTCCCCATCTGGGATTCTGAGGCGTTTGGCGGGGGGGGGGGGGGGGCGGGGGGGGCAAAGCCATCACCTTCGCTACAGGGGCCATGCCAGGAGAGTGGCACATTCGCTGTGAGCTCCCCAGTTGCCCGAGGCAGTGCTAGGTCCCCTGCTGCATGGCTCCTGCCCCTGATACTGTGTGCTGCCAGCCTGACTCCGTGTTCTCCCCGACCCTGCCAGGAGCTGATGCGTTGTTGTCAAAGCAGCTACGTCTGTCTGCTGAGGAGCTGGTGGCATCCCTGCAGGAGCAGGTGGCTCAGCTCACCAAGCAGAACCAGGAGCTGTTGGAGAAGGTCCAGGTGGGGAAACTGAGGCAGTGTACAGCTCTGGGGACCTTGGGGTGGGTGGGGAACATGCTGAGGCTGTCTCTTAGCCTGCCTGCCTCCCCACCCCCAGATCCTTGAGGAGTTTGAGAAGGACGAGGTGCAGATGGTGGAAGACAGTCAGCCTGAGGTGGTCCCCCTGGTCTTGTATGACTCTCTGAGGACAGAGCTTGAGCAGCTCCGGAGGCAGCACACAGAGGCCTTGCATGCACTGCAGGAGCAGCGGGAGGTGGCCAGGGGTCATGGAGAAGAGACAGTACATAAGGAGAGCAGGGACAAGGGGACCACCACCCAGAATGGTCCTAGCGTCCCAGAGCTCAATGGCACCACATACCCAGAAACCACAGCGAACGGCACCACTGAACCCCAAGCAGGAGGCTCCTTGGGCATCGGGAACACGGAAGCCAGTGCTTCAGAAGTGACACCTATAGAGCCCGAGGCTGCAAGTTCAGAGGCCACGGGGAAAGATGCTGTGGCAGACGAGGCTGTGGACACGAGAACCACTGTGGCTCAGGCCCTAGACGTGAAAGCTGTAGGTGATAAAGCTGGAAGTGAGCCGGTCGTGGCGGAAGCCATGGGAGGGAAAGAGAATCCAGGCATGGAGGCTGATGGGGTGCGTGTGGTGCAGGAGGGGCCCCCGGGAACAGGGATTAGAAACATGGAGGCCACGGCAGTAGAATTGCGGGATACCGGAGTTCAGGCCACAGCAGCAGAGACCACGGTAGTGAAGACCACGGGAGTGCAGGCCACAGTGGCAGAGGTCATAGGAGTGAAGGTCACAGGAGTGCAGGTCACAGCGACAGAAGACACAGTCAAGGCCTCTGGAGCTGAAGCCCCTGGTGCAGACGCCACTGTGACTGAGGCCAAGGGAGCTGAGGCTACGGAAACTCAGGCCACCACCCTGGAAACCATGGGAGCAGAGGCCACGGGGTCACAAGTCATGGCCGTAGAGACCACAGGCGCGCAGGCCACTGTGACAGAGGCCAACGGAGCCGAGGCCATAGGACTCAAGGCCACGGAAGCCGAGGCCGCCTGCACGGAGGGTCCCTGTGCTGCGGTTCTCCACCCGGGGGCAGCGGCAGCAGCGGCGGCGCTGCAGGCCGAGCTGGAGACCCGAATCCGCGGCCTGGAGGAGGCGCTCCGCCTGCGGGAGAGGGAGGCGGCGGCCGAACTGGAGGCCGCCCGGGACCGATTTGCGGAGGCCGAGGAGGCGGCACGGGGGAGGAGTCGCGAGCTGGAGACGCTGCGGGAGCTGCTGGCCACGGCCACGGCCACGGGCGAGCGCGCACGCGAGGAGGCCGCTT